AAACAGCAAAAATCAAAAGCAATAAAACTTCCAATTCCGAATATGTTATAAACAGAAATGTTGCCAGAGGAACAGTAAAAACTTTTTTTTTTTTGGGATAAAAATTTTGTACTTGGAATCTGAGATAGATCAAAAAGAGTTGTGTGTCAGAGTTTCAACGGCTGAGATTCACTCGCAGAGCAACCTAGGCAAATGTGACCAGGCCCAGAGACCACGCTTTACCACTTCTTTTTCACCTTTCAGTTTTTACCCTTTTTTTATTATATTATTTCATTCAATTTGTTTCTCCATTTATTTTTGGTTAAATGTCAATTTTAGTCCCTCAACTTAATATTTTACACAATTTTCATCCTTTAATTTTTTTTGCACTTTTTTAGTCTTTCATCAGTTAATTAACTCGTTAAGTTTATCTAAATTTATACATTTGTAATCTCTCAACTTCTAATATATGCATATTTTCATCCCTCAACTTAAAGTTGAGAGACTAAAAATGTTTAGATTTAGATAGATTTAATGGATTAACTGACGAAAATACTAAAAAAATACATTTTTCATAATTAAGTAAACCTGGCAAAATTGGACCTAATTCGAAAATCTGACCCAACCCATCCGTTATGAGAAGGGTCATGGGTCCTATGTGTTAATTCGAAATCCGAAATCACCCGGATTAAAATTATCCAAACCCAAATGAGTTGGGTTACGGGTGAGTCGAGTCACCCGAAATGACCTGAATTTTTTTTATTCATTTTTTATTAGATTACTTAAAAATTAATTTTAAATTTCTAATTTCTTAATCCTAAAAGTAGAAATAAATAAAATACTCAAACTCTAATCTCTCATCAATTTCACTTTCTATCAACTTTTCCTCTTCTCCACTCTCACTCTCCCCTTCTTCATCTCAAGCTCTCTAATCCTTCTCTTTAGTGGCACTCACATAAAAAATTAGATTAGGTGGCACATAATGAGTTATATTATATGACATTGTAAAAAAGATCATTTTTTTAAAAATAAAAAGCAAGAATGCCTACTGAAAATCAAAATTCAATGGTTAAGATACCCTCATAATCATTAGAAGTACAAAAACAAAAACATCAAAAATATCAAAGTCCGTTCTTAGTTTCTAATTTGTTCTTAATTAATAATTTGTTGCTAATTACTAAAAATCAATTTCGATCCAATTTCGATCCAATTTCTTCTTGTATTTGATTAGACATATTTTAGATTTGGCTTTTAAACTTTAATATTAAATAAAACTATATTTTTTTGTATAATACCCTCCTAAATATTGAATAGTGCTGTATTTTTGTATAATATTCTTATAAATATTGAATAGGCGCTAGATATTAATATATATATTGGATTTGTCTTTTGAATTCTAATCCTTCATATCTCTTCTTTTAATGAAAGTTAATACCTTTATGAAACTATAAATTCTAAATATTGTATAAGTATTATATATTTAACATATATTTTAGTTTCACCTATGTAATCACTAATCTTTTCCTTTTCTTTTCTTGAGATTGGAAAAAAAATTGAATTATGAAATGAAAATTAACGATTTAATAAGTTTTCTAACTAAATAGTTAATTAGTAATAAAATTTTTTAACTAAATAGTTAATTAGTATTAGACTTTATTAAAGAAAAATAGAAAAAAATATAGAAAAATTTTAATTTAATTTTAATTTTTTAAAAGTTAGGTCCACCATACCCAATCCGAGACCCATGTAGGTGGATCATGGGTCAATCTCCTTAATTCGACACCTGAAATGACTCAATCTGAACAACTCGAGATCTGAGATGATCCAATCTGACCTATTTGTCATGCCTATAATTAAGGGATTAAAAAAGTTAAAAAAAATTAAAGGATAAAAATTATGTAAAACTTTCAAACTTTTATTTTTTCAAGTTGGAGAGTTCAACGGAAGGGTCAGGTCATGGTCTACGAGGAGCACTGTCTCAGTGCTGACATGGCAACTGGTCAAGTTCTTGGACTCGACATTTTATATTTGACAAAAGAAAAAAAATGTGTAAATAACGATATTAGCTTTACATTTTTTTAATTTTAAATGTTAATTTTGTTAAATTTTAAATAAAAATGTTAATTTTTAATTTGTTCTATTTAAGATTGTTAACTTTTAATTTTTTTTTATTTAAAGATATCAACTTTAAACTTTTTATATTTAAGAATTAATTGGATAACGAAGCTAACGTGGTAAATGAATTTTTTAATTGAAATATTGAAAGTTAACATTCTTAAATAAAAAAAATTCAAAGTTGACATCCTTAAATAAAAAATGTTGAAAGTTAGTGTCCTTATTAAAAATTGACAAAATTAACATTATTAAATAAAAAAATTGTAAAGTTGACATCTTTTTTTTAACATTTACTCTTTGACAAAACCTTATGCTAAACTTTTAAATTTACCGGGTTAAAGCCACCTATCATCGCTCTACTTTGTGAAAAAGTTCAATTTAACCCTTCAATCATGGAACCACCTCGGGTCATCTCTCTACTTCATTTTGAGCTCACATGTCCTCCCTCCACTATTCAAAACGTGAGCAATTTCGTCCCTCCATCCATTCCATGCCTAACATCCTCACTTTTTACTGTTAAAGCCTAACAGTTTAGCATTTAACATATATTTCTGTATTATTCTTTTTTCCAATTTGGCTATAATAGGACCCATGACACATCATATTCCATAATAATATTGTTTTACATGAATATTTTATCAACTTCTTTTAATTATTAGCCACATTTATTTATCTCTTTTTATTAAGTTTTTAGTTGAATCAATTAAAGGTTGAATAGTTTTTGTCTCTCCACTTTAAGGTTTTAAATAATGTTCATCCCCCAACTATTTTAAATACTTTTTTATTTCTCTATCAATTAAT